CCAGTAACAGTAGATTATCGCTGACAAACAAGCCAAACTTGACATTTTCCACTGCTGAAGGGTGGAAGCTCTTTCACCTGTAGCCAGCTCGGCATATCCCTCCAGAAATAATTCACATCGTCACAATAGAAAAACTAATTATCCAACACTCAAAAAAGTGAACTTTATGACATGCTCAATTAATTAAATGCATCTGTGTCCAAATTAATTAATACACCTGTGTTAGCTTTTAAAACACAACCCACTTTAGTAGGTTAAACTAAAACTGAAAACTTGTTATAATCACAAAAGCCACTTGATTTAATACAATGTAACAGTGTTGAGTGAATCCATTCAGTTCCTATTTTCTTCTGAAATTAGTGGTCATGTGACCTAGCTTGTCTGAGTTTCCATAGGACAGACATTCCACATGCTCAGTAGCTCACGTCTTTTGCTGATGCAAACCAAGGAGGACACCACTTCTCCAGATACGGCACACAAAAGGCCACTTGGCCTTTGCAAATGCTCATCTGGACAAAGAAGAAGACTTCTGGTCTTCTGTTTTATGGTCAGATGAAACAAAAATTGAATTGTTTGGCCACAATGATGTAGCCTTCATTTGGTGTAAAAAAGGAGAAGCCTTCAATCCTAGGAACACCATCCCCACTGTCAAACATGGTAGTGGGAACCTAATGTTTTGGGGGTGTTTTTCAGCCGGTGGACCAGGGAACCTAATCACACTAAACGGCACCATGAAAAAGGAGCATTACATCAAAATTCTCAACAACATCAGGCAGTCTGCAGAGAAACTTGGCCTTGGGCACCAGTGGACATTTCAGCATGACAACGACCCAAAACACACAGCAAAAGTGGTGAAGAAATGGTTAGCAGACAAAAACATTAATGTTTTGCAGTGGCCCAGCCAGAGTCCTGACTTGAATCCAATTGAGAATCTGTGGAGGGAGCTAAAGCTGAGGGTGATGGCAAGGAGACCCTCCAACCTGAAAGAGTTGGAGCTCATCGCTAAAGATGAATGGGCAAAAATACCAGTGGAGACATGCAAAAAGCTGGTCAGCAATTATAGGAAGCGTTTGATTGCTGTAATAGCCAATACAGGCTTTTCTATTGATTATTGAAAAGGCTATGAATAAGTTTGGACATGCCACTTTTTGTTCAAATGTAAATAAAGGCTGAGAAATGTTTTGTTCCACAATGATTCCTCGTGTACATCGTATTATTATCTTTTGGGAGACGCCTGTGTCATTTCCTGTGAAAAAAAACTTGCTGGTTGAATAAAAGTAACTTTAAGTCAGAATTTGCCAGGGGTATGAATAATTTCAGGCTTGACTGTATATGCATATCACCCCTAATATATAATATCATGTGAATTTCAGTTCAAGCCATTCGGTTGAATATACTGTAGTTACTGTGGAGGTAGTAAATTGCCCCTCAGTGTTGGATCAGTGCCTAGTGTGAGACTGATAATAGATCACCTCCTCATCATTCAGTGACAGGAGCTTTCTAGACTCTAGATGTGCTAAACTGACACTTTGTGGCTGTTTGGCAATCTCAGAGCTTTTATGCCACTTCAGTAATTAACCCTGCAGTATACAAGTTACTATGGTGAAGGTCAAATATGAGTAAACAAAGCTACTATGGAGGACAACAGCAAGACAGGTGAAAAGACACTGGGAGCAATAGCTGAAATTCCACAGAGGATAAGAGCAGTTAATGGAAAGGAGTAAAAACAAGGCACTGATAGCCTCACAGTGTATTGCCACAAAGGACTGAAAGTACAATTACATAAGAACAGCTGTTTGCATGCAAGGACTGCAAGACAAAACTAGTAAATGTAAGTGCCCTAGTGGGCACTCATGCTGGTAGCTGGGGAGATCCTAACTCCAGTGGCCTGAGTTGTTGCATGTCACTGATGATGTTCCCCTTGGCGACAAACCCTCACTGCATTCAAAGTTACAGTGGGAGCCATAAATGGAAGGGGACTGTGGGTGACTACAGTTCATCCTTTGTGGAGCCTTGGCCAGTAGGTGGCACCAGGGTTCCATAAATAATTGAACAAAAAGTATGACCAACAGCTTCAGACCAAACAAACCTGTCTGAAACAGCGTGACAAAAAGTTGTATTTGTCAGACCTAAATGCTGATTCCAAATATGAGAAGTTAATGTCATAGCTTTTTTTTTTTTTGATACTTATGATAAACTCGTCATTGTCCTGAAGACAGACAGGTGAGTGCACTGTTCCCAGTCAGAGAGTAGCCTTCCTGGCAGGTGAAATAACATTGTAGGCCAAAGGGAAGAGACTCGAGAGTGTCCACGAATGTTACATTGCCCTTAACAGGACTTAAAATGGGGGAGCATTTTTTTATTTTTTTACAGTGGTGGAATACAGACATCAGTCACAAAATGGCCATTCAGAGTAAATCAGTGTCTGTATGGGATATGTCAGTTTGAACTAATATTTAACATACCATGAACATGAGGTGGCAGTATGAATAATCACACTGACATAATTTATAGTTAGGGGAAACAGCACCTGCCTACACACATTGAATGGCAGTGTTGTTTGCAATACAAACATAAATGAGTGTGAAGTAAAGTGTAAACAGGTGTGACCTGCATCTAATCTGCTGCACAGCCTGGGACAGGTTGTGACTACACACTGAGGCCGACTAAGTATCAGTAAAACATGGCAGTCAGTCAATCTATTAACAGGGTTCAAATAGTACAACAAAGGAAGTCACACATTTTTATTAGTCTGAGATAATGATGGTCACTTCACTTTTGCATGCTGGGACACTGGCTGCCCACTGGCTGTTGTGGTCACAGCATATCTAGTCCTGTCCACTGAGCATGTAGCCCTCATCACACCAGACCTCACGAGTGGAGCTGTGGTCGGAAGGTGTGATGGGATGGCTTGGCAAAGCAGTTTGGGCGTGCCTACTGTTGTGGGTGCTGAGAATGTGTGAGATCTGCTGACTCTCATGACTTGCAAAACACCAGCAGCTTGCTGTATTCTTCCTGTCTTATGTCTTCTTGTGGCCTGAGGGCATAAAATTGATAAATGACCCTAGTCATTTATCCTAAGTGCTGCTAACTATTGTCTGTTGTGTCAGGTGGTGAACAGCATCATTTAAACAAAAACTACCTCGCATTATTCCATGAGAAGGGGTACAATAAAGTTATATTTTACGCATAAAGTGCAGTGCTATTTTTACTCATAGTTGTAGTTTAATCAGAAATAGCTTTAATGCATAGACCCAGAGTTAGTGATAGTTTGCTGTACCATATAATCAATACAAGTTACCTTATATATTTTAACCGTGTGATTATTTTGATTCTTACCTATAATCATTTGAAGTTTATGTTACAAAAGTACGAAATGTAATTGATTGTATTGTTTCTAATCACTGGAGTTCAGTAGTGTGATTGTTTATTATGACATTCATTAAGTTTCTTACATAACCGTTTGTATTAGTTGTGTTGACTTCACATAAGGCCATTAGCCATATTGTTGAATCAATAAAAATCATTCAAAGGAAGAGAGTAATCAAATAAGAGACAGTAATCTGCTGATTGTTGTTGATTTTTCATACCCTAATGTCTTATGCTATCCAATGTGTTAATCTTGATTTGTTATACCTTATCATTTTTATTCACTATATGTTACTGACATTGGCGTAATACCAGGGTGGTGGTGCTGTGACAAGATTGCACAATGGGGAAACATGTGACCAGGCTATAGAGTAGGGAAGGGCCATAGGGGATAACCGTTGCTCCATTAAGGGGCCCTAGTTCAACAGGAAGGGCACATCGTGCAGACCACTGTGCAAATTTCCATCTGGCATGAAGATCCTCCTTTCTGTCTAGTTTCTCTTCCTCTAAGGGGAGACATTTCTCCAGTGAACAGCAATTCTAATTTCATCTGCCCTGAGGCACTAAAATACCACATCAGTAACCTAGAAATAAAAAGTAAAATGCCATTAAACATCCAATAAAAGAAAGGAGTTTCTTTTCACCACACAATGAAGTGTTTTGAGGCGTTATCTTTTGTGAACATGACAACTGGAAAGGTAGAGGAGCTGCAGCTGCCGGTTCCATCTGATGAGGAAGGAGGTCGTCAGCACGGGGGTCAGCATCACCCAGAGATGGAGAGGGAGGCCTTAAAAGGAGGAGTGCTGCAGCAGGGAGGGGCCCTAGTTCGGTTCGTTCTCTGGAGGACTCACACTTCATCCAACCGTCCACCGATTCCACACTCTGAAAGATAATTAGAAGACAAAAGCATCTTCTTTTGGACCAAATCTTCTGTCTTCTGAGAAAAACACAAAAAAAATTGTTCCATCTTAAAAACAAAACATCTTCATTTGGTCCAACTCTTCTGTCTTATAAGAAACACAAAATTACATCCATCTTAAAAAAGAAACTTCTTTTGGTCCAAATCGTCTGTCTCCATTCCTTCTGTCTTCCATCCTCCCTTAAAAGTTAAAAAAGAAACAAATGTCTTACAAAATGGATTAATGGAATAATGTTTAGAAATTAAGATCAAGTGGGAACCGATGACGACGTAAAATCATTAACATCATTAGATAAATTGATATTTACCATGTCCATGAGAGGGCTCACACTTCACCCAACCCTCCACCACTTCCTCTCTCCTCACTCTTTGGGGGGACAGCTGACCCTGGAGAGAGGTTGTTGCAGGGACCCGCAACCAGCCGTCTCTCTCGTCAGGAATTGGAGTTTTGTTCTGACAGACATGCATCATCTCAAAGCAGGACCTAACATTATAAAGCATTGACCATATAAACATTATAAATTAAATTTATATTCAGATAAAGTAAGAAAGACCACATATATTTCTAAGTTGTGTAGTGGAAATGTATCTTCTGCACCCAGCAACAAATGTATGACCTTAAACAAGCTTTCCAAGTGGTGCATCATGATGAAGTGATGCTGCAGCACCTGACAGGGTGTAATCCAGGGGTGGCCAATTCCAGTCCTCGAGGGCCACTGTCCTGCTTGTTTTCCTGTCCCTGCCTGACCTGCTGCTGATTACCTGGCTCAAGTGTGTTCAGCCATTCAGAAGCTGGAAGATACCAATTCACTTTATCTTTCCTCACTCCACTTTCATCTAAGATGGTATCTTCCAGCTTCTGACTGACTGAACACACCTGAGCCAGGTAATCAGCAGCAGCCCGCCAGCAGGGGCCTGTACCAGACCCGTAAAAATAAATTTTTAAAGCAAATAAAATTATACTAACCATTTCCAAATATTCATATGTCATTACGCCTCCCATCTCCTCTTCTCTGCCGTCTGCTTATTTCTGTTCTGTTTTCTCCCTTATTCATATCACTTTTTGGTTTCTTCTCTCCTCCATACTCCTGAAAAGAAACAAATATAAGACAAAATGGAATATTTAGAAATTCAGATGAAGTGGGAACTGATGACTAACGTATTTTCCGCACTATAAGGCGCACCTAAGAGCCTTAAATTTTCTCAAAAATCGGCTGTGCGCCTGATAATCCGGTGCACTTTATGTGTGCACTGAGTTCCAAAATCTGTAAAAATGTTGTTGTGCGACTTTGGTAAGCACTCCACTTGATTGACTGTCGGACCATTTCCCGCTGACACAGGGACGAAATCCGTACACTACGTACGCTGGCAGCGATAAACCAGTCTAAACCGGTCTAAGGACCCCCGAAAATGGCAGCAGTGAAGAGACATGCTTACGAGGCACAATTCAAACTACAGTTACGCGGTTGTAAATGGGAATAGAGCAGCTGCGAAAGAATTCAAAATCAATGAATGTATGGTTCGGAAGTGGATTTGTGGGAGAACATTGATTAAAAAATAATGTGATTGTATTCTTAAATAGTAGAATAAAGTTCAACTAAACTCACTGTTTTGCTTCCGTTACGTTTTAGCATGCGCCTTATAATCCGGTGCGCCTTATGGTGCAGAAAATACGGTACATAAAATCATTAACATCATTAGATAAATTGATATTTACCACACATGAAAGGTCTTACACTTCATCCTGCCCTCCATCACTTCCTCTCTCCTCACTCTGAAAGATAAATAGAAGACCAGAGGAGCTGTAGCTCAGTTTAAAAAAAAACTAAGGCACAGATGATTGGTTCATGACTACTATATAAAATGTAATTAAAGCAAATAAAATTATACTTACCCGTTCGAGATGTTAAGATGCCATTATGCACCCAACTCATTGCCTCTCCTCCTCTCTACCTGTTTCTTAATTCCTTTTTCTCACCTTTTCATGTTATTTCTATACGATTATCAAAATAGTTGTGAATTTATTGTAGGTGATCCAGAGTGCAGCCTGTATGTGAGCCGGGAAAGTCTGTTTTTTTCTTTTAGCGATCACAGTCACTAGCCCTGCACATAGCTGAATACGTAGCATAATTAAAAATCACACCTGTCCTGGTAAAAGCATGTCGTCATGATCAGAGGGTCACCAGTTGATGTACAGGCAGCAAAATTGTGTTAATATGTGTCTCCAGTTCCGCGAAATCGTCGAGTGAAAGAAACTTGAAAACTAAACTTAAAATTTAACGTTGGCTTAGTCCTTTGATTACAGCTGCTGACGTCACATCTATTATGATCCAGCAAGTTGTTTAGTTTAGTTTGTTTAGTTGTTTTGCTTACAACAAGTAAAGAACTTGTCGCTACCTCGGTTCGTCTGGTTTTCTAATTGAGTTCACCACAACCTCTGTTTGGCATCTGTACACGCCAAACCTGACACATGCTGATTCATTAAAATAACCTTTAAGCTGCAGTATGTTAAACAGAACACTGTGCTAAGTGGCATATATTCACATGTAGTTTGTGTAGCCAGTGACTCTTTAGGTTGATTTATTAACAATGTATAAATAATATAAGTCAGATAAAAGTTATATTTCTGTTGCACCTCACTGGATGGACATGTTGCTTCATCAGGCTGCCTGTGAGGAACCAGCAAATTGACATTTAACAGACACTTATATTAACAGTTTTGGAAAATTAAATATTTGAATCTTGAAGCATGGTGCAAAAGGGGTGAAACTGCTTTGGATAAATGCCCAGTTGCAACACTGACCTTACTTGTGCAACTTTCTTTCCTGTGAAAAACGAACAGATAAACAGATCAAAGTGTTTTGCAATAATATTGCACTGCTCTTACTTTTTCTTATCACCAGCAACTTGACATTTTGACAGACACTTACAGTGGTGTGAAAAAGTGTTTGCCCCCTTACTGATTTCTTATCTTTTTGCATGTTTGTCACACTGTAATGTTTCAGATCGTCAAACAAATTTATATATTAGTCAAAGATAACACAAGTAAACACATCATGCAGTTTTTAAATGAAGGTTTTTATTATTAAGGGAAAACAAAATCCAAAACTACAAAGCCCTGTGTGAACAAGTGTTTGCCCCCCTGTCAAAACACTGGTTTATCGCACCTGAGTTCAATTTCTCTTGCCACACCTGTTCGCAATCAAGAAATCACTTAAATAGGACCTGCCTGACAAAGTGAAGTAGACCAAAAGATCCTCAAAAGCTAGACATCATGCCGAGATCCAAAGAAATTCAAAAACAAATGAGAAAGAGAATAATGGAGCTCTATCAGTCCGGAAAAGGTTATAAAGCCATTTCTAAAGCTTGGGGACTGCAGCGAACCACAGTGAGAGCCATTATCCACAAATGGCGAAAACATGGAACAGTGGAGAACCTTCCCAGGAGTGGCCAGCCGACCAAAATTACCCCAAGAGCGCAGCGACAACTCATCCAAGAGGTCACAAAAGACCCCACAACAACATCCAAAGAACTGCAGGCCTCACTTGCCTCAGTTAAGCTGAGTGTTCATGACTCCACCATAAGAAAGAGACTGGGCAAAAATGGTTTGCATGGCAGAGTTCCAAGACGAAAACCACTGCTGAGCAAAAAGAACATAAAGGCTCGTCTCAGTTTTGCCAGAAAACATCTTGATGATCCCCAAGACTTTTGGGATAATACTCTGTGGACAGACGAGACAAAAGTTGAACTTTTTGGAAGGTGTGTGTCCCATTATGTGTGGCGTAAAAGTAACACCGCATTTCAGAAAAAGAACATCATACCAACAGTAAAATATGGTGGTGGTAGTGGGATGGTCTGGGGCTGTTTTGCTGCTTCAGGCCCTGGAAGACATGCTGTGATAAGTGGAACCATGAATTCTGCTGTGTACCAAAATATCCTGAAGGAAGAAATTGAACTCAGGTGCGATAAACCAGTGTTTTGACAGGGGGGCAAACACTTGTTCACACAGGGATCTATAGTTTTGGATTTTGTTTTCCCTTAATAATAAAAACCTTCATTTAAAAACTGCATGATGTGTTTACTTGTGTTATCTTTGACTAATATATAAATTTGTTTGACGATCTGAAACATTACAGTGTGACAAACATGCAAAAAGATAAGAAATCAGTAAGGGGGCAAACACTTTTTCACACCACTGTATATTAACAGTTTTGGAAAATTTAATATTTGAATCTTGAAGCATGGTGCAAAAGGGGTGAAGCTGCTTTGGATAAATGCTCAGTTGCAAAACTGACCCTACATGTGCAACTTTCTTTCCTGTGAAAAAAGAACAGATAAACAAATCAAAGTGTTTTGCAATAATATTGCACTGCTCTTACTTTTTCTTATCCGGGAAATAGATGCAACAGAAGGCTGAGAACGCTCCACACCCACTTACAGCCAACAGAGCTTTTTTCTCAAACCTCATCAGTGCAAATATCAATAACTCTTGTGCTTTGTTTGCCACTGTTGAGAGGCTAACTAATCCAAAACTCAATTAGCCCCTCATTTGCTATTGCAAAGTAAATGTAAAGATTTGCATATTTCTTTAAGTGAACAAATCAAAAACATCAGATGGGCCATAAATTCCTCCACATAAAACAATGGATGTACTAAAAATTGTTAGTGGCTTGCTCCTGTGAGAGATTTTCCCCAAATCACTTAAAACCACAATTGTTAAGTCCCTTTTAAAGAAATGCAACCTGGATCCTTCTGTGTTAAATGATCCCAGGCCGATCTCTAATCTTCCTTTCACTGAAAAAGTTATTGAGAGAGTAGTTTTTGATTCAGCTGAACAACTGAAAGATAAACAGCCTTTTGGACAGATTTCAGTCTGGCTTTAGAAAACACCACAGCACTGAGACTTCACTGATAAAGGTGTTAAAAAACATTTGTGTCAATACAGATTCAGGTAAAACGTTGGTTCTGGTGCTGCTTGATCTCAGTGCAGCTTTTATAATACTGTGGATCATACAATCCCTCTTGGCAGACTGGAAAAGTGGGTGGGACTATCAGGTACAGTCCTCATCCACATTATATCTTGAAGGCAGTTATGTTGTTTTCAGTGGTGATCATAAATTTTACTGTTACATAGTATGAGCATGAGGTAGCAGTATGATTAATCACACTGATATAATTTATAGTGAGGGGAAACCTGCCTACACTCAATGAATTACAGTGCTCCCACTGCAGACACAAATGTAGTGATGAAAAGTAATTAAGCACATTACTCAAGTACTGTTCTTAAGTAGAATTTTTAAGTATCTACTATATTTGAGGATTTTCATTTTGTTTTAACACATACTTTGACTTCATTATATTTAGATGCAAAAATTGTACCTTTTAACTCCACTACATCTATTTTATAACTTTGGTTACTAGTTACTTTTCAGAACCAGATTAACACAAAACTTGCAGTATCATAAAACATTATTGGTCTCCAGTGGAAAATTCATATGCTACCCAGTAGTGCTTGAAATAAGTAAAAAAGGTAGTTAACATTAGCTCCCCCTTTACCAGCTGCAATATTAAATGAGATGAACACAATAATGCATCAGTAATTACAATCCAATAATATCATATACATTAAGGTATAATGTGAGTACCTTTACTTTAAGTATGTTTTGATGCTAATCATTTTGTACTTTTACTTAAGTAACTTTTTGAATGCAGGACTTGTATTTATAACAGTATTTTGCACTGTGGTATTGCTGCTTACTTAAGTAAGGGATCTGAGTACTACTTCCACTACTGCATAAATGTGTGTGAAGTAAAGTGTTAACATGTGTGACCTGCATCTGATCTACTGCACAGTGTGGACAGGTTGTGACTACACACTGAGGCCGACTAAGTATCAGTAAAACATGGCAGTCAATCTACTAACAGGGTTCAAGTAGTACAACAAAGGAAGTCACACATTTTTATTAGTCTGAGATAATGATGGTCACTTTACTTTTGCGTGCTGGAACACTGGGTGCCCACTGGGTGCCCACTGGCCATTGTGGTCACAGCGTATCTGGTCCTGTCCACTGAGTGTGTCGCCCTCATCACACCAGACCTCACAAGTGGAGCTGTGGTTGGAAGGTGCAATGGGATGGCGTGGCAAAGCAGTTTGGGCGCGCCTACAAACTGAAAGCCAAGTTCACAGTGGAAACGGCTGGATGACAATAATGATTAGACCCATTGGGATCAGAGCAGAGGTCAGAACCTTGGCAACATCTGACAAGGGTTTGCATGCCATGGCTGCAGAGAAAACAAACAAAAATGTATTATTTAACTCATCACATGAAGAGGTCACAGCCAGTTTTAGCATTATATCTGGTCACACTCTTCACAGTGTGGCCCAAGGAAACCAGGATGACCCTCATTGTTATCTGGCTCCTCTGATGCAGTTTTGAGCCTCTCTGGGCACATTCTTACTGGTTTCTGCCCAGGTCTGTACTCCAGTCTCTTTGTAAATACCTATCCAGTAATATTTTGTATTAAATGGCAGCAAATTATTGAGGAAGTGGGTCTCCTCCTGGTTCTTGTCCTTCATTCATGCACCTCACTGGATGGACATGTTGCTTCATCAGGCTGCCTGTGAGGAACCAGCAAATTGACATTTAACAAAACACTTATATTAACAGTTATGGAAAATTAAATATTTGAATCTTGAAGCATGGTGCAAAAGGGGTGAAGCTGCTTTGGATAAATGCTCAGTTGCAACACTGACCTTACTTGTGCAACTTTCTTTCCTGTGAAAAACGAACAGATAAACAGATCAAAGTGTTTTGCAATAATATTGCACTGCTCTTACTTTTTCTTATCTGGGAAAATAGATGCAACAGAAGGCTGAGAACACTTCACACCCACTTACAGCCAACAGAGCCTGTTGATAGTCTGAGGGAAAAAAAGACCCCCCACACAATATTGTTCTGTACATGTTACTACTGCTGTTGCCCATTATAATACAGAATTTAAATGATTCATTAGAAACAGCAAAACCAGTAAAATGACTAGCTAGTCTGGTATTTATGTAT